CACACCAGAAAGAACTCAGAAAGATGAAAAAGATTTGAATCTAAAGATTATGAAACTGATGATTAAAAAAGTCAAATGCATCATTTACCTCCAGTCTCATACATCCAAAATATATTTATGGAATAATACCACTAAAATACCCATATTAAATAAAAAAAACATTTTCAAATAATGCCTTTATTACAAGTGTGGGCAAGCTGAGGCAGGTTTGGGGCCAAATCTGTGCCCCAGTCTATTCTACAGGGCCACACAGAGCCTTACAATGACCTTTCTAGCAATATGCGTGTGAAAACTGCTGCTTCTGGAGATTTCTAGCAGCAGAAAACACAATTCTGGTTTAAAAGGGGTAGGGAGCTCTGAGTCCTTGGGGAATTACTTCCTTTAAGATAATGGAAGTGGACTGTTCTCTGAAAGAGTTTGACCTTCTCAGAGCATTTCATAGTACAATCAGGGTTTTTTTAAATGCAGCTTTAAAAATCCTGATTATTTCTTTGTTTTGCTTTATGAAAAGTAGAGGTGTTTCATAAAAAGTTCCTAAGAGTGTGTGCATAATAGATGCTAAAGGTTTGTGGAATGGGATGTGTTGAGCCTGTTGTGTCATTGCATCAAATCTCCTTTGAATAAGTTGACCTTACTGGGAAAATACAGTCATAATGATGAATGTATTTCACCCCTACAGTTACCACCAACCACGACAGACCCCTTTTGTTCTTACTTAAGTAAACGTAAGAGAGCTGACTTAACACTTTGTACAGCGTGCCAGTTCCAGTAAGGATATGTGCAGGTGAACCTTTAACAGTTTATGGCTTTCCTAGGATTTGGGAGTGCAAAGAATCCTCCAGTACTGAAAGCAATAGTGCATTGTCCTTTGATAGACATTGAGACTGACTATTAAATCATGTTGATCTTATAGAATCCAGTCTAAACTTTAAAAACTATTTACAGCAGCTCATTTTTAGCAAAAGGAGAAACAGCAGGCCCTTAAATTTGTACTTATTTGCACCATTGATTTTCTTATCTGCTCCTTGCACTTGATTGATTTTCTTTGTGTGTGTACATATACCTGTAGACATAAGGAAGAAAGGGGATAGGAATAGCTTTCTAACAAGGAGTACAAAGGTATTCAGAGCTTTTTAGTTTAGGTATTCAGAGGGGTACATGATAGCATAGCACTAAAACTGAGGAGCAACAAATAATAGAATTAGAATAGACAAAACAGATGTCACACAACACATAGCTATAATTTGGTGTCATAAGATTTGATGGTACCCCACCATCCTCATTCAGTGCTTGGGGGGGGGGATAGAAGCCTCAACTGCAGTGACTTCCATAGGCTCAGGGCTCCAGATATAGTTCAAAGAAGACTTTATTGACAAACCAGATACTTCCCACACAGGGTTCATTTCACCCTTCCTGGTCCATCCTTGGGCTCTGTTACAGTCACTAGCCTGGAGCCTTTCCTGTTGCCCTGAAAAATCTCTAGTTAACTCTGTCAGGATTGGCCTAGTTCAAAGTCTTGTGGTCCAACTGAAACGAGTCACACCTCTCAGGTACTATCAGGCAACACTTGTGCTAAGGCTCCCCTGGAGGTGGCATTGCCTTTCTTTCTGGCGCTTGTGCCTCCAGGCCCTCTTTTTCATTAGAATACAGATTGGGTGTTCAGTGGGCTTTTATTCTTCCAGCAGCACCAGGCACTGGGTTGAGGCTGGCAGAAGATCAACTCATACCCCTTCCTTGACCCCTTCCATGTGGGAACCAGAACTCAACAAGAACTGGTCCAGGATTCTTCGACAAGGGCATAATTGTAGATGCTTTTCCCAAGCAAAGCCTCTTCTAGCTTCTCCACCACATTTCCCCAGGTGCCCTCATTCTTTAATCTAGCCAAGCCTGATCCTGACCCCTCGTCTCCAGATGCCTCTGACTCCTTCACGCCATTGCCCTCATGTTCTTTGCACTCTACCTTTATCCCTGCCAGCTGGACACAGATCTCCACCTTCCACTTCCATGCCCAGGTTGCTCTCATCACCCAGCTTTTCCTCCTACTCCTGGACTGTCTGACTGGCCTCAGTGCCGACCCAAGGCCTGGCGGAAGGCAGCTCCAGTGGGACAGGGCTAAAGCGGATGGCCTGCCAAGGCAACCCCCTCACAGATGGCCGCAGACTTGGTTTGTCAGATTTATGGAACTTGCCATGACACCTGAGCAGAACATCCAGATTCAGAGGCATTTTTCCTTAAATACCAGTTACCATCCAGCAAACAACAGTGGTAGATTGTTTTCATGTTTTTTGGGAGCATATTTTACTATGTTTTGGCCAAACTTCCAGAAGTCTTGATTCACAAGTTCTTTTACATGTTTTGCTAACAATGTAAAAGACTTTTCCAGGCACTTATGCTCAAATAAGAAATAGCAAGATGTATAGGAAACTCAGGAAGCACATATGGCACTGGCTCCATCCTCCCATGTGCCCTGAATTTCTCTGTCCCTAATCTTCCTGAGCTGAACAGGAAGGTATTGTTTATACATCCTTTTGAACTGAAAGCAGATAGAAGCCTCTATTTAACTGGGAACCTTCATAGGGGTTGTTTTGCTTAGTAACAATATTTTTTTTGACTGGGTAGATTAAATAATAAATAAAAACCTAAAGTATAACACAGTATAATATAATCTGAAAGAGAAGCAGCATAGGAAAATATACCCCTCAAAAGTTAAAGTCTTCCTTGCATGGCTTCTGTGCTCATTTGAGCAAACACTTATGCTCAACACTGAGAGGTCAGGCTAGAAAGGGACTGGAATTTCAGGAACAACATGCCCAGCCCTGTGCTTTCTACATCCTTTGCCATTGTCTGTTCAGGCACAATTCCCAAACAGTGCTGTATATAAGACATTGAATATCCTGTCAAAGTAGCTAGAACTTGTGAAGTTTCATCAGTTTGTCAGGAGTATAACCATGTGAAAATCCTAGATGCAGATTTCATTCATAGGTTTTTAAAGGTGGAATATCCTTGTAGTGTGTGCACATTTCCCTCTAAGGTGCAACCCTGTGTGCGCGCACGCAACTCTGCCCAGCATTCATCATCCCCCACGCACCTATAGCGATTGTTCTCTGCCCTTTTGGTTCCAGTTACAGTGGACCCCGCATTGGGGACAGAGTTGTTCATGCAAGGGGCAGAGCCCCACCCAGTGGGGATGAAAATTAGAGGGAATGTTGAGTAAAACGTGCTGCTTATATACCGCCCCATAGTGCTTTCAAGCACTCTCTGGGCGGTTTACAAGTTAATTATGCAGGCTACACATTGCCCCCCCCCAGCAAGCTGGGTACTCATTTTACTGACCTCGGAAGGATAGAAGGCTGAGTCAACCTTGAGCTGGCTACCTGGGATTGAACCCCAGGTCGTGAGCACAATTTTGGCTGCAGTACAGCAGTTTAACCACTGCGCCACGAGGCTCACTGTGTGTGTATATTTGTGTGTGCTTTGTAAGTAGTCTTCATACAGAGTCAGAAACACATCATAGCATGAGAAACCAGTTACAGCACACTGGTGGAGTGAGAACAGTTTGTGTAATCCTGCCAGAATTGTGGAAATGTGGCACTTCCAAAGCCCCATAGCAAATGCCATCTGATACTCTAGGGTCTGTCTGCTGTCTTAGTTGCAGCTGAAAATTTCCTCAGAGAGCAGTCCTCCTGGATTAGGGTTTTGAATGTGCATGAAAGAATTCATCTTGGCCTCTATGTATCACAGCCTTTCTTCATTGTTTCCTCAGATATTTTCCCCCTAGGGGAATAAATGTGCTACTCTTCTTCTATAGTGTCCTGTTGATAGGAGCTCTTAAACATTCTCTAAAGATGGTGCTCAGTTCAAGCTGAAATTTTTCAAAGAACAGGGCCTATTTGTTCAATTTCAGCTTCTAAGCTTCTAAGTCCCAGAAGAAATTAAATGAGGCGCCTAGAGCTATGACAGACTGTGATGTTGATTTGCTGCAGATGTCACCTTTTAATATCATGCACATCAAATGTATGTAATTTCTAATGTACTGTGGTGCCGTTATTGCAGGAGCAGTACTGAATTTAGAGAGTACTGTGAACAAGATACAATGGTTAATTGCTAACGTTTAGTTTTGTTAAACCATGCTATGGGAATTCTAAACACCGGATTAAGGGTGAACACTCTTGAGGCCTGGGGGCTTGATCTGAGCTTGGGACAGGTTTAGGTCCAGCTTTTGTTTCTGAATTCCCATCAGTGCTGCATGGTCATAGTTTAAAAAAGAATTTCTATGAAAGTTATATTGTTCAACCTATTTGGCAAGGAAGGAATTTTCAAACTAGAAATAACAGCCCCTCTTCCTCCTATTTCTTCATTGAGGCCTAAGGCTAGCTTTTGGAATGTCAGGCAAAAAAACCACAAAAACTCACCCACCCTTTTTCCTACTGCCTGCCTCCTCAGATAATTTGATCTCTACACATTTCTGAGCTTCTATTCCCCCTCGAATCAAAGCCTTTAGTTTTTGACACAGCAAGATAATTGACGATACAATGAGATTCTGTAATAATTGCAGCATTTTGCAGGTATTATAAGGGAAGCAAACTGACCTTCAAGGTCTTTGTGAATTGCCGAATGAACAACACAATACATTTTCTCCTCTGTGGGCTAGTAAGGAGTGTGTTGCTTGGCAATTAGGTGAAGCTTGGAGCGAAAAAGAATAAAACTACTGTTTCTCCTGCTTGCAGATCTTGCTGACTGAAGAATTTGTGGAAAGAATGCTGGAAGATTTAGAAGATCTGAACTCTCCAGAGGAAGTGAGTCTGCTTAACTCTCATACCCAGAGGGACTCTTTTTTACATTCAGTTGCTTGACTAGTTTAAGTTGTTGGTGTGGCCTGGTTTCTTGGAACTTAAATTCAGAATTTGAGTTTTCTTTGCTGCTGCTGTCCTATCCCTAGAAATCCCTCCTGTGATTCCACACCAGCAGAATGAGGAGTAGGCAGAGGCAACATTAAAGGTAAAGTGGGGAGGGGGAGCCCAAGGGCAAAATATTGTGCCACTTTAAAAACTAACAAATTTACTTCACTTTGATCAAAATCTATTTTTCCAGATACTAAGATAGACAAGAGGTTTTTTTTTCTCTAGCAAGGCAACTATGCTAGCTGCTCCCAGGAAACTTTGGGAGTTGATCCCCCTCATATGCTAGTGAAAGTATATATAGTATAAAGTTTCATCTGCTCAGTTGGCAACTTCTGCAGCCTTCACTACAGAAGTGTTACATTGTTGTAACAGATTCTGTTTATTATATGACCCCACCGCAGGGGTTACTAATGTTTTTCATCTGCACCCTGTAAGATTATTCCACTTACATTCTTCCACAACATGGAGAATCTCTAATCTCATTCTTATAACTCCTGTTGACTACAGTTCAGCTTGATCTGCTCGTGAAATCATCCTCTGCACTTCTACTGCCCAAATAGTCCTTTTACTTTAAGAATTTAATGCTGTTTATTGCTGAAAAGATGTGGTTTCTGAACTAGAAAACCAGGTTATCATGGAATTATGGTAGGAATCTTCTTATGAATGAGTAATGTTTTAGTGGCTATCAGCTCTAAATTTGTTTAAACCCCTTTTAGAGCCATCTAACTAGTAGTCCTTACTGAGGTAACTTCCACAAAGCAGCTACACATTGCCTGTAGAAGAACTTTCTGGTCTATATCTTTAAATAAATAAATAAGTATGTCCTGAATCTACATCCATTCAACTTAATCAGGTGACTTTGATCTTCAGTGTTACACAAACAGACATAATACTGTGTCCACTTTCTCTTCACCCTACATGGCTTTGTGAATGGCTATTATGTTCCCTCTTAGCCACCTATTTCGAAACTTTTAAAAAAATCCCCACAGTTGCCTTTTCTCATTTTAAAAAGTGCTCCAACCCCTTAATAGTGTAATTTTTCGAACATTAAACTTAAGTGGCCTGAAATTTCCCAACCCCCACTTTGGACCCCTTTATAAGGAACAGACATGGTGCACAGACTGTCTTTCATGCCCTTGTAAAGCAATTGAACTTTTTTAAGGTCAATTTGTCAAGTTTATTTCAATACACAGTAAGTGCAACTAACTTATTCTGGGTCAAACCTCTCATCCCTGCACATGCTATGAAAAGGTTTAAAATCCACTAAATGTGTTCATTCAATCCTTTTTAAACAAGCAAAAATAACATGGGTGGGTTTGGTGGACAAAGAAAAAGTAAGTTAGCTAAGGAATATGATGTGCAGGTGAGGGGTGAAAACAGGAACAATACTTGACCATGTAGTCAAATGAACATGGTGGAAAACATGTCCTTATTTGCCAAACTGAAGCCTTGGATTTTTATTAATTCCCAACTGTTTCCTTTTGCTTGCTTTGGGTAGTTTAGATCATAATATGGTCTGTTTATTGTTAACTAATTTATCTGTGTTTTAGTTCAAACTTCCAAAGGAATATAGCTGGCCAGAAAAGAAACTGAAAGTCTCCATCTTGCCTGACACCGCATTTGAGAACCCACTCCATTAAAGCCAACTGACACCTGCAGGCATCAATGTACTGTATGCCACCCAATGACTCATGGGGTAATTTAGGACAGTAGAAGCTCTTCCTGCAGATAATGTTATGTTTCTACATAACCACTGCAAGCAGAGAAGGCATTACTCAACAGCAGTCCAGCCAGAACTGAACTCTGCTAAGACACCTGGCTTTCTTCTCTTTCATCGTGGCTGAATTTGGAACATCCTACATATGAATGAGTGTATAAATGAAACAGAGACAGACAAGTGTTTGACTTTGACTAATCCTTGTAAGAATTTTTCTCCTATTTTAACTGGCTCCAGAATTCCCTGCTGCCATAGCTCAGGATTTATGTGATTTTTCTGCCTTTCTTTAAATACCCTTTTCAGGTGTATTTACACAGGATCTGCTAATCTGATGTGTTTTCTATAACTCAAACATTATTTTGATAGCCAGTCTATGTGAGTCCTTATTAGTTCAGAAAGCATATGATGTATAACTTTATCCCCTCATGTCAGCTGAGGAAGTACTAGTGTGCTGTGATATCTAAGGATTGAGTTGGCCAGGGATTCATGATCCCTTTGACTGAACTGCAGCTGCAGTGGAGTGGGGGTTGGGGGAATTAGACTTTTTGAAAAAACCAAGATATTTTCAATAGACATGAGCACTTCATAATCATTTTCTTGGGGAAACTAATACAAACTAGGGCACCATAGGTGCCATGGTGGGCCAATCCTACCCCCTAGAACTGGACTGGGCCACTTACTGAGCCCTGCACGACACTCGGCTAAACCTTGTTGTTGCACCAGTTGCAGAAGCAGCTCGGCCGGCCCTTCCCCACCTCCCCATGCTGCCAGCCACTCATTGGATGAGCGGGGAGATGCCACAGCAGGTTGGCTGCGGTGGGAGGCAGGGAAGGGCTGGCCAGGCTCCTTCTGCGCTTGGCATGATGGAGCGAAGTGCTGTGCGGAGTCTGGTAAGTGGCCCGGCCAGTTCTGGGGAAACGATACAAAGTGCCCATGTCTAATGTTCAATAATATCAGTGTAAATGCCTCTTGTTGGTTATTAAGAAGAAACAAACAAACAAAAAGGAGCAATTAGATTTGCACGGTTTTTCCCTTGAACTTATTGAATTACACACTGTCTGAATTCAAAACTATATGCTTCCCTGCTGTAGCTTTTCCAACTCTGTGTACTCCCTTTCATTGCATCAAAGTCATGTGAACTATGGGATAGTAAGAGGATGTCTTTAATTACCACTGCCAGTAAGGTTTATTTTCTTTCTTGGTACAGCTACCTTTTCTGATTTAAATCCTGGTAATCCATCATTCTTGATTTTTCTTATAGATTTCCAACAAACATCCTTGTTTCTGATTGCATAATTTATGCAGTTATGTTTTTCAGTTGTAGCAAAAACAACCTTAAACACAAACATGTTTTAATTTGACATAAGCTTTGTGGGCTTCAGCTCACAATCTTGTGAAGAAATGGACTGCTAAGGTGAGCTTTGTTGTTCACATTACAGAGAAATAGGAAGTGTTTCATGAGTTGAGAAATGTCTATTGCCATGAGTTTAAATCGGCTTAAGAAACAATGCTTTCCACATTTCTGTCGCATATTTTTACTTTTTATGTACATTTTGGGAAGGTCTTATTCTAACAGATATTGTAATGGATATTATGTCAAACCATCCCAGAATGGTTCAGAAAACCTGTAGTTCTATGAACACAGAATTTAATTTAAAGAGTTTTGGCCTTTTTTTGTAACAGGCACACTATATTTCTATGAGTTTCCGTTAAAGAGTATAACAGTATGCTTATTAACAATGGGATTAACTTCCAAGAACCCCGAAGTGGCTGTATCTCACTCACTCACCACTACAGAAAGTGAACTTCATCACTGCTAAAGCAGAAACCTATACAATACTCCCCATATCCTCAGGTGATCCATTCCAAGAGATACCGTAGATACCTGAAACCATCAGGGAACCTGTTAAGAAGAGGAAGAGGAGGAGGATATAAGTGCACATGTGAACTGTGAGCTGGGATGCAGCAGTGGTGACCGCAGGTAACTGAAACCTGCTGATACTGAATCTGTAGATACATGGGTCGTACTGTGTTCTGGAATAAATTGAATTCATTTGTGAATAGATATGTATTGATTCTCCCCAATCCCTTAAACGGGAAGAAAGTTCTCTTCAACTAAGTTGTCATTCTAAATACCATGTCCTTTTGACACACTGATCAAGATAAATTTTGACATGAGCTGAGGAGAGTCATACTGGAGTGTGTGAGGGTGTGAGAAATCCCCCCCACAGACCTTCTGGATCGAAAACTTTAACTGAAAATCAAATCTGTAATTTTGCTTTTAAATGCAATGAGCCATTCTGTACTCCCAGTGTTCTACCTTTTTGATCTGAATCTACATGCTTCAAAAGAAAACAACCATGGAATGATGGAGAAGGCGACATCTCATGTAAATAGTACTTGGATGGTGGACATGACAGTAGTCCCAAGATATTGTTTTTTCCTGTTTCTCACAGCTGCCAGTGGAGCCCTTAGGACTCTTACCTTTTGCATTAAGATACGAGATTCCATGGGTCCTAATCTGTTTTGGTATTGAAGAATTACAAAGCAAAAACAACCTTTGGAGTCATGTAGTTGAGAGCATTTGGGGAGGTTAAACTGTGTTGTCATGAGCACAGCCAACTGCTGATATAAGCAGAATTTACTAACAACTAATGCCAAATTGACTAAGCACAGAACATTGCAGAGCTGAAGCAAAGCAACCCATAGGGTGCCCTCGTGGAAACAGACAAGAATTCCTTGTTTATCACTGCATTCACTTGGTGTGCTATCTTTCACACTTTACTGCCACATACCTTGTATTTTTTCCTTGCAAAATTACGGAGCTAGTTCTCAAGCAGCAGCTGAGATGGTCAGCCTATTCCTTAACCTGGCTGCTAATAATTGAATCCCACATGACTACTCTGTACAAGGGTAGGGGAGCTTTGCAATAGAAACCTGTTAAACCAGGAGGAAAATTAGGATATAGATCATCTTCCCTGATGTCTAATTTCCTATGTGTAACTTTTAGAGATGGGTGTATTCGTATTCGAATATCCCCGCACAAGTGGCGATAATGAGGGTCCCTGGGGCCGGATGGTCCACTCACTGATCTGCCACTACTGCGGATGCTGCAGTTCTTCCAATGGCTCTGCACATCACAATCGGCTAGCCACTCCTGGTAGGAGGCAGGAGGACAAGCCTCACTGCAAGGTTGAAGAGTGGCTCACAGATCGCAATCTGCAGAGCCATTGGAAGAAACGTGGCATCCACGGCAGCGGCGGATCGGTGAGTGAACCGTCTGGCCCCATGGGGCTGAACCCTCGTTATCGCCACCTGTGTGGGGATATTGTATACGAATACCCCCATCTCTAGTAGATTTTTTTTAAAAAGTGTATGTCAGAATGTTCTATAAGAAAGTAAGAGTCATGCTTTGTCAGATCAAAGACCTATCTAGTCCAGCATTCTGGTCTCGCAGCAATCAACCAGATACCTCTGAGCAGCCCATAAGCAGGACATGAGTACTACAGCACATGACTGCAGCAAGACATGTTCCCTAGGAAATAGTATTCAGAGCCATACTACCTCTTTTGTTTTAAGCAATATGTAGCCATCATGACTATCACAATCATTCATTTGAACCTGTAAGAGGAGCTTCCAAACTTCCTAGCATACCCAAAGTTGTCCTTGGAAGTCTGTTATTACACAGTGTGAATTACTACAGTGAGGCTTTGCACCAGCTACACTGTCCCATTCATTCTTCTCTATGGTGGACCTATCAGTCTATTTTCTCTGTTGACAGAATGAAAAATTTTGGAGTTTCTGAATGAAATGAGCTGTGCATAAATAGATAGAATACTGTGAAATGCTAAACTGGAATTTTAATAACCTAGAATTGATTTTTCAGGAAGGATCTGTGAGCTTGACTCAATGTTTTGTCCTCCGCAAGCATTCCTTTGGAGTAGAAAATTGGCCCAAGATGTCCTTAGCTATTTAACTCTTAAATAGGTTTATTTTATGTGACTTGAAGAGAGACAATTCAGATTTCGTATATGGCTGAAAGTACCCACAGATTGTTGCCATAGCAAATCAAAGGTAAGTTGCTCAGATGTATATTTGTTTAATCAGTAACAGTTTATGGTTGTTACTGCTGCGAGTTCTTCTTGTCAGATCCCAGAAGTCTTATGGAAATGAAACTTGGCTTCTCCAAAGGGGTGTATATTAGTAGCTTTTCAGGGACAAACCGTCACATTAGGGCCACCATGGACCCACACATACCACCCAAAAGAGGCAGGAACAATTTGCTTTGCACTCTGCTTGCTACTTAGTGAAGTGGTTTACAGGAAACTGGAGCTTTGGCTGCTCTTCAGTTGATTTGCACCTGCTGCTTAATCCCTCCAGCACCTGGAGCTGTAAACACCCTTCCTCCATTGGTGCAACAATTATTAACTTTCACTGCAGCTGTTGTACCAAGTCATGTGCCAAGATAGTACTAACCTGGCCATCAGAACAAATGGTAACAAAAGGCCCATTCTGGAGAGTTTGCTGTCGAAATAGAAAGCAGACAAGTCAACAATAAAGAGGGGTGATAGAAGTTTGAGCAAAAGCCCTATTCACGCGCAGGGTGAGCTGTGAGTACAAGAACAAAGGCTTGTTCTGCTGCAACTATCTACCAGAATACGCTGCTGTGCTCAGGAGCTTAGTCCCGTAAAAGCAGTTTTTTTAAAAATTGTATCAGAAGAAGCTCCAGTGTCACCCTTTCATGCTTCTTCACTTTTCCCACAATGGTCCTAAAATAATGGAGTCTCTAGATGAATAAGAAATAGAGATGGGGATATTCGTAAATAAATATGAATATCCCCATCCCAGGTGTGCTGAATGCGGGTCTGGCTCTCAGAACTGGCCCATCCAGTCACGCTTTGCCACGCCGCCAGCCTCCTGCTCTTCCTGCCAGTCACGGCAGTAGCTCTGCCATTTCCCTGCTCAGCTGGCAGGGAGACTTGTCCTCCCACCCCCTGCCTGGAGTGGCCAGCCAGGGGGCGATCAGACAAGGAGGCAAAGCAGGGAAGCCCATGCTCTTGCTGGAGACTGGTCAAACAGCCAAAGAGGAGGAGCAGATTGTGCAATGGCTGGTGAATGGGGGATCCAGACGGGGAGGTGGGGGACGAGTACACACACAGTACCTGTGGTGCCATGCGTACGTACCAGCATGAACCTCCAAACCAAGGTTCGTGCCCATCTCTAATAGAGATCCCTCTAGAAGCAGACCAGCTACAAAATCATGTTCATGACAACTATATACATCCTATATACACAATATATATTTCTTCCAGATTTGAGCTCAGCCGTTTAAGACAGTAATTGGGCAGAGCTGCCATAAAGCACTTCTGTAGCAAATGAAAGCATGAGTTTCAAATCTGCATAGGAGTTCTGACAAGTGGTGCTCCATCATTCTCATCACACTCAGGCTTTTCCAGCATCAGAAGGAAAACTATGGTGGGCTTAATAGGGGGGAAAAAAGACAATTTATGCATGAGCCATATGCATAAAAGGAAGGGAAGTAGCATTTAGGGAGCAGAATAGTTTTAACAGCTTGTGGTAAAATATACTGTATTAATTAATGCTGCTCCCTACTACTACCACTATTGTGATATGTAGCAAAAGGAAAGATGCCTGCGTATTTTGGGAGTCCTGTCTTAATAAGGTGTTTCCTTCACATCTTTCCTGCGTCTGTGTTTTTTGAATCCTTCTTTGCTGGGCATTCAAAATGTCAAAAAGAAAATGAGCCTGCAGCTGAAGTGGGTCTTAAAAGGATCTGTAGGCTGACCTACCTCTCAGGCAATTAACCTATGGGCATTAGGCACTTTGCTGCTTTTTCATTTCATATACAATTCTACTTTTCTTTCTCAAATTGCTTACAGACCATAAAGTCATAGTAAGTGGTACATTAGCTTTATAGTGTCATTCCAAAGCTGTCATAAAGGTGTGTCTTTCCCATTTTCAGCCAGCCAGCTAATAAGGAGGTTAGGTAAGTATTTTGAAAAACCCTTGCCATCTACCAACTTTATGATTCATTTCTAAAAGGGGTAGTCTCTGAGAACACAATGACCTAATGAATGGAGGGTGGGGAGTTTGAAGGGCTTCATCAAATGCATTTTAATTTCAGAAAGCTAATTTGTTTAAAAGCTCGGACAGGAATTTCCTTGCTAGCTTACTGTGGTGGTTTTGTAAACATTTCTTCACCTACCTACCTCTGCCTGATGTTTCCCTTGTTTGTTTCCTAGTTAAGGTTGAAAACCAACATGACAACTTTTGTTTTCATCCCTGGGGGGTCTTGAAGGCAAAAAGCTGTATGTATCACGGTGTTTATACAATGGAGGGTAGAGGAGACAGATTATAGTGGTGTGAGTCCTACTATAACTCTGGGTAGCCTCTGCCCTGCTCTAGTTAATGTTCTGAGGAAACACAGGAGAATTGGAGGGTCCTTTCAACCAGATTGTCTTCCATTCTGGATAGAATGTCTGAGCTGTGCTTTTTTGGAGCAGCGTAACAACATGGACACAGCCATTGTGGGAGCAGGGGGTGGGTGTACCTGAGCACCACAAGTTTCATGGCTCACTCCACATTCTTAGGACTACTCCATATCCTAGATGGGGAGCTTAAGAGCATATCTTTCATGTTCAGTTATAGCAGTTCTGAATGTCACTGTCCTTAAAAACAGTAAATGAGATTGTTGTTGTTGAAAGTAGTGTCACGGTTCCAAGCAGAAGGATCACTTTCTTTCCTGTTGAATCGTCATACAAGTCAAAGTTCACTGCTAGATCAGGAGAGTGGGATTGCTGTTCTTTTGCTTGTTACTATAGGTTTTTTTTTATAGTTGCAGGTCTAGAGAATGTTAAACAAAATAAGTTGTTTTACCTTTGAAAGACCTAATCCTTAGACTTGCTTAGCTTCTAATTCTGACTGCTGAGGCTGCTTCAACAAGTTTCAGCTGAGGTGAACCTTTTTGTAGTTCATCTGTGTGCGTGTGCCTGTGTGTTTTTCTACAAAAATGTTGAAGAATCTGCAGAAGGTGTCACAGGGTGGTTTGCCGTTCCTGCCATGTGACTTTCAGTACTTTGTAGTATGCCTTTTTTTCTACCAAAAAAGCAACAACAATGGAAACCTAAGCTAGCAAAGGTTTTAAAAAATATTTTATATTAGTTTTTAATGTATATTCCTACATTATTGTAGTGCTCACCTGCGCAAAATTACTTTTTGTAATATTTTTGTGAATCACAAAGCTTTGTTTCTCTCCTGTTTATTCAAAATACATTAAAATTGTTTGCATAGTTGTGTCTTGTGTGTGTATTTACTGAGTGATTGCAGTGCTGATAAATGAAATTTTATTCTCTTCCTTGTGTTTAACTTTGTCATTCCAGTTGTTCTTTACAAGCTGTGGCCAGATTTGGGGGCTCTCTTTGTGCTTACATAACAGGAGAACGTGGGCCCCAGCATTTGCTTACCAACAACCCTCTGATGTGGTTTGTTTCCTTCTATATATCACAATTTCCGGAGCATTTTTTGTTGAAGTGCTAGATGCTCTTACAGTGTTGGGTCAGAATCTTCTTGCACTGTGAGCAGAACATTATACTCAGCTCACAATGTTTTGTAAGTTGCTTGTGATTGTGCTAACCAGACATCATCCTCCATTGCTTTTGATAGGCCTTACACTTACACAAGAAGGTACCAGATACATCCTTGCAGAAACTTCAAAACAGCCTAGAGAGCAGAAGCCTGTGAACAAAACAGGGACATGCAATTGTGACCGTAACCACTTTCACTCTCACAAGTGTGTTCTGAGGTGAGACAGTGCTTTTTCCATGTTTGGATTGTGTATTTGTGAGTAGGACAGGAATATGAGTGGTCTGTCAAGGTCTGACCCAGGCTCTACACAACCCAGCCAACTTTCCAATGGGCTGATCACAAGGGCTTCTATACAACTCATTGAACAAGAGGGCACCACGACATGTAGCTCCTGGAAAAGCAGGATTCAGATTGAAGCCTATGTGGTTGTGTCAGCCTTAGGAATAGGAGGGTGCCTAGTAAGAGAGAGGGAGGG